ATATCTCGTAAAGGATTCTCTTTTTACATTTTTACTTTTATGCACATACTGAAACAAAATTAATCGAGATAAAAAAAATAATGACTTTTAAGAAAATTTATAATTTGTAATGTACAACGTTATAACATTTTTTTATATTTTTTATATTTTTTTATTTTTTTATATGTTTTTTATATTTTTTATATTTTTATAATTTATAATTTATTGTATGTATTGTATTGTACGTATTGTATTGCATGTATTGTATGACGTATAATTAATTATTATATGCGTAATAAATTGCAATACAATTATGTATAATATTTTATATAAATAAGATTATAAATGATATGCAACGAAATAATTGTTAAGTAAGTTTAAAATATTTTTTATATATGTAAGTATGTACACACGTGAATGTGACATGTAATCTGATCAATGAGTCAGCTTAAGATGCTATTATCTTCTGCAGAAATCAAAGTAGCGTTTTATTGGTCGAGAGGCTTGTATCCTGAACTTGTCATTTATGTAAATTTATGTGTGACCACGGACATACGTGTATAGATTTTTTATGTATATATGTGACAGAATTCCCCAGGTTTATACATTAAATCCTTATTAAATCAAAGATATAAAAATCATTTCTTACTTGAGTTCGCTACGCAAATATAAAATTTCATAATTTTATAAACTAGTATTTTATTATAAGCTGTATAAAATATTTAAATCTTATAAAAATATGGTACACTCTGCTTGATTTCTGCAATCAATTTGTTAATTCAATTATATCTCTTATTAGTTAAGTATATTTCTGCTGCCACTTTGCTGTCAATATTTATAACAGACATTTTGCAAAATCTTTTCGGCAAATTTAGTTATCCGGATATTTGTAATCTTCGTTTCAACCTGAAACAAAGGCTATTCGAACTTGAAAAATTTTCTGTTTTGATGTATAAAAAATGCATAATCTTATATATAATCTTATCTCTCTCATATATGAGATGATAAGATATCATATGAGTTACATCATCTAAATGCGCAATAACTCCGTGCATTTATAAGAGAATAGAAGTCGTTTAATAAGTGACTCCTATTGATTTGTTTTACAATAAACCTATAATAATGTTTTCTCACTTGAAAATAATTTCTTTTATGACAAATTACATCTAGCTATTTGCATTTGGCTATTTATACATACGTCATAACTGTTGGTATTCAAAATAAAATGATAAAATCAAATTTTTAAATAATTTTAAATGTAACTTTTATTTTGAAAATTTTTTTATTTTTATTACTATTATATAAATTATTATATAAATTTCTAAACATGTTAATAATTCACATTTTAAAAGTACAATCATAATATCACGTATAGTATGAATAATTAAATGCAATGTATTTAATTCAGAAGTAACTATCTTTAAGCGAAAAGACATTTTGACGAGATGTCTTCTGTATGAGATGTTTGAAAAATTGATTGAAGAGTCACGAGCGCTTGTAGAGAGGACAGGGCAGGAGAAAGGGCAATTTTCTCCTCTTTCTTCTCGTTTTTATAAATGAAAGGAAAATATAAACAGCATTAGTGATGAGTATAAGATCAATAATGTCTCTCCCCGTTCTCTTAGAAAAATTCTTGCGACGAATTCATGCAAAGAGTATACGGAAGGAATAAATCGTGCTATTTTCGTCGTAGGCGCACGCCACAAGAAAAGAAACGACAGCGTCGGGTTCCTGGTGGAACCAGTTGCGAACGTTCCGCCCATATTTGGGACACATTTTTACGCGGTAAGATACGGCGCAACCGCGCAACGGTCGCGACGTCCCACACACTCCTTTGAAGGATGCAGCCATATGATTCATCCGGAATGAATATTTGTTTTTTTTTTCTTTTCTTTTTTTTCTTTTTTTTTTCTTTTTCTTTTTTTTTTTTTCTTTTAAGTACGGTCCTAACGGTTTAACGCTCGGCATCGAATACAATGCATCGTTCATGTCGATAAAAAAAATCAAACAATTCTTTTTAAAGTTGTGAAAATATTAAAATCAATATAATAATGCAGATTTAAAAAATTAGAAGTTATGTGATGACATTTTTGGACTATTTTTGGAAACAATATTTTTGGAAAATGACTTCTTCAATTCTGTTATTTAAATTGATTCAGTCGAGAGCTGAAACTTGTCACAAATACTAAGTTTAAGTACTAAAATAATACAAATAAAATTAACGACTAAAAAGATATGCGCAAAATTAAACATCAGAATTATCAGCATTTAATTAACACCCGATATAATTACAAATTTCAATCAATATTCGAATTTACTGATAATACGGATCTTGATAGACGATAAGTCTGTTAATTCTAACGACGCTTTGCGCAATTACAGCGAAACAAAGGATCTTTTTCGGGATGGAAGCACAGTATAAAAAGTATAAAAAGTAAGAAAAAAAAGGAGATAAATGAATCAAGCGCGACGTGTGTAGCGCGAGCACAGTCGCGAAGTTAGTTGAGAACGAGTACACACGGCGGTATAGCATCGGTAACGTTCGGTGGTTTAAACGAGCCAATAAGCGCGACGCGATGCCGGAGCCGAGCCAATGAGACAACCGCGCCAGCGGCGACTCGGCTAGCTTCGTCAGCGCTCGGCCGTCTTCGGCGACACGAGTGCTGCACAAAGACGCCGCGCGATAAAAGCGGTGTACGAAGCGACCGGTTTGGTATACACAGACGGTAATTCGTTCGGTCTTGTCCTGTTGTATCTACGTGCGTGCGAGCGAATTCAGGATTCGTGAGTGGACAAGCAATCCCCGAACGAGTATTGAGAGCAGCGTTTCCCTCTTCGCGAGAGGAAGCTAAGGAGAGAGAGAGAGAAAGAAAGAAAAGAGCAGGTAAATGATTTTTTCTTTTCCTTCGCCCTTTTCGATGGGCAAACAAAGAGACGCCGCCGACCTTCGCGCCACGACTTATCGAAACGACGCAACAGCTTGCTTTTCCGAAAATCTGCTCTAAGGGACATAGTTGTCATTGTTCCTCGATTTCGTGCTGTACTCGAGGGTTGTAATGTGTCGTTGCTTTTTGAATTGTATGAATAATGCGACATGATTGTTAGTGGCTTTGAGTGACGATGATAGAGGATCATGGCGGAAACGTTTATAAATAAAAATGTCAAGCCTTTGTTTAATTTCTCTCGAATATCGGATTATTACATTGAACAAAAATTTGTTCGATTGTTTTTATAACTATATCTTTGATTTTCTTAAATATATATGTTTAAATATTTATATATTATTATTATGTTTATATTTCATTGCTATCTCGTTCGATAAATAGGCATTTGCATGGATGAAAATGTGTACGGTATGTGTATTACACGTATTGTTTGATCTAGTTTCGTGTATACAATTGTTAATTCATTTCTGAATATTATAATAAAACGATGATATAAAGAATTGAAAAAATTTCATACATAACACAAGGAGAAATTATGATTAAAAATAAAATTATGGAAACTATAGAATTTAGATCGCGTGTAAAAAATTTTGTTTTTTTACATAGAGACTTGTCGACTTGCCTCATTTGATTTTAAAAAGATTGGTTTTTTTTTTTTTTTTTTCTACGAAAAAGTAGATTAAAGTAAACGATAATAGCCACTAGATGTCACTATACAATCGATCTTAACCGTCTATATCCACGTTTGAAGCACTGAGGCACTGAGCTGCGCATCCTGTTTAAAAAGAGTGAGAGATTTTTAAAAATCAAAATTTGTAAAATTTTTATTTTTAAGATAACAATCACTTAATTTCTTATTTATTTTATTCTACTTATTAAAAACGAAGCTCTCATTTTTAATCAACTAACTAAAAGTTCTTTTAGAATTTTGACTTTAAAATGTGATGAATTTCTATCTTAGTAACAGGCGAGATTACAATAAGTCAAGATGATATGATTATTTTGACTGAAACTATTATCTTTTTATCAAAATTTCAGTCAAAATGACGTCATCTTGATCTTATATCATAATCGCGTGTTACTTGTGATATGATTTTTGTTTTATTTCCCATCGCAATAATAATAATAGATTTTTATAAATTATGTTATATTCCGAAAATTAATCCGGCAGTAAGCGTAATTGTGAGCGTTTATTTGATTAGAATGAAGGACAAAATGTAATGGATCTATCTTTTCACATGTTTTATATGTATAATTAGAATTTTAATAATATTAACATTTAAATCTGTATATCACGCGTAATAAAATATATTTAGGATTTTAATTTATTTGTTAACGAGAAACTATAAAAAAAAAATAAATACCCAAAACTTATATATATTATTACTCAGAATAAAATACAGAAGTTACATCTTACATATTTTCAAACAACGTTAGTTTTAAATAATGTGAATAAACCTAAATTTCACGAATGCGCGCAAATTAATTACTTTACTCCTGCAAATTTGCCTTTATATTTAGGAAACTCATAAAAATATCGATAATAATAATTCTTTCTTTTCCCGATAAGCAAATATTACACAAAAATAATCATAGAATGATAAAAAAAACTTCATAATGGTTGGTGCGAAAATGAGTCTAGTATATCGTTACTATTTTGCCGAAATATCGAAATTAATTGCAAACAATTGTCAATATTTTAAAAGTCAATATTTCAATAATTTCTACATATATCTTCGTAATAAACATTTTACAGATTATAAATTTTATCAAAAATTTGTCATAATTTTATGAATACTTTTATATCTATCTAAGTTTTAATTAAAATTGCACTTTCTGCAATTTCAATTTAATTATTATTTTTTTCTATCAAACTCTCCCAAATGCATAGATAACTTTATTTCGAGCAAGAAAAGTGTAATGTAAACGTAAAAAAAAGAATAGGTGTTACGACAATACCGGAAGTCGCCTGTTGATGAGGGAAAAGAATAGATGTTATGACAGAACTCGTGCTCGTATTTGTATTTGTATTTTCTTCCTGAATACTCTTGTGTTCATCAAGTGTTCGTTTTGAATAATAAATTATACATGAAATATTTTTATTGCAGCGATATCACTATGGCCACCGCAGCGGAATCACCTGTTCCCAGTGAATGTGAGTAACATTTTAAAGATACGATAAAACAACATTAAGTAATCGATAGCACTGTAGCAACGTTTTACATATTTGACGAATACTTACTAATAAGAAAAACTGATTACGAGTGTATCCAAATTTGAATTGGAATTGAAAACCCAAGCTGTTTCCAAGAAGTCAGTTTACTCGTTTCTATTTGAATCAAATTTTCGATCAGTAATACTAAATTAAATTGTATTAAATATATTAAATATCAAGGTTCGGTAAATTAATATTATTTTTAACTTAAAAATGAAGTTACAATTAATGACTTGTAAAATTGACAAATAAATATATTATATATAAATTACTTCTATAACTAAATCTTTAGAATAAAACTCAGATAAAACGGAAATCCACATAAGGTTAATCTAGAAATTAAAGATCTTAAGTAAATGGAATAAATTCATTTAAATTTCCAATTAAACGAAGATCTTGGTTATTATTTATTGGAATAAATAATAATTTCCTGCACATGTAAATAATGGATTTACATGTGCAGGAAGAATAGCTCGAATTAATAAATGATAAAATGATAATATAAATCCTAAATTTTAAATTTAAGTACATTAGTAATTAAAAGTTACATGAACAAAAAATTAACTCAGTTAAAAATTGCATTAAAATTAAATTAAGTTAAATTAAAAATTAACTAAAAAATATTTATATTAAAATTTTGTAAAATTAATTAATTTTTTAAAATTAAAGTATTCTGAATAACAAAAAAATTACAATATGGATCGAATACACAATACGGATGAAATAAACTTAACTATTTTACTTGTAAATTAAATTTATATGAAAAAACAAATAAATATTGCTTTTTTATATGGGAATACATATTTTTCTTTTAGATATTTTTTCTACATAGACAAATTTTTAACTTAAGAAAAACGGTTAATAAGTTTATGTCTTTTAAAAATAACTAGTAGTTGAGGTAAAAATAATTAAGTTAGATTAAAAGTTATTAATTATTTTTTTAATTATGTTAGTTGACTCTTTGATTAATCATTATCCAACCAATGTTAAATATATTCAACAAAAGGATAAGGCATTAATTATTATTAATATTTGTCGATTACATGAAACACCTAATCAGTTCCTAATCGTCCGATGCATTTCCTCATTTCTTGATGGGGCGGACACCCTTGGTCACCCGTGTGTGTGAATATCGCGTGTCCCTTGGCACGATATTGAGACAGTGATTCGGCAATTGGGAGAGTGGAGAACCGAGAGGCGTCCGGACGGTTCGGCGCCGCGGCGGAGAACACACCCTAAACATCGCAGAGACCGGCGAGACCGGCAGGCGGCGAACGGGCTGGAGGTCAGAGCCCCCAGACCCCGAACGGGGGGGGGGGGGGGAGTCGTGTCCTCGTGGCTGGCGAGTGAGAATTGAGCGCTGCGGAGAAAGAAGTTTGCCGCGAGCCTGCATCGGACGATCGTGCTGCGGCGGCTGACAACTGCAGTGGTGCACGTCGGCAACCCGTCGCCTCCGTGACTCTCAACCTGGGGCCCAGGTCGCGAATCGCAGATTGCGAGCCTTGAAAAGGGATTGATCCGAGGAGTTCTCAATCTTCTCTCGTATCTGACCCATCGTGAGGAAAAACGCAGGCCGAAATGAGTTTATTTTACAATATCGGCTTAAAAATAAAAATTACGTTTCCGACGATGTTTTAAACTTGAATGAATTTTGTATAAAAAAAAAATTTAACGTGTGTGTGTGTTGTGTGTGTGTGTGTGTGTGTGTGTGTAGTGTATTAAATTAAATATTTTTATAGTAATTTAACAAGGAAAATACATGGAGAGAGAAGGATTTATTGAATGGGACTTGCGAGGAGTAAGAATTACGTCCTTGGTGCGAGTTTTGTTGGGAAGAACTAATGGGGAAGGGATTAACGACGTATAAACTTCGTATTTTTTTTTTTTTCCCCAGTTTTATCTGTTCGCTTTTTCTCGTTATCGTCGTCGTTTGAATCCAATTAAACCGTAACGATCGAGTTCAGCTCATTACGTGGAGTTTATTAGATTGAGACTTCTCATTTGTGTTCACAACAAATATTCTTCTTTTTATGATGACACTTAAAACTTTAGCATCAAATTTTTCTTCACCAAACCAAATAAGTCACGAAAGTTATCTTAACCGCAGTATAATTCTATTTTTCTTCAAATTGCGTTGCGAAACTTCGGAGATAAGAAAGAAATATTGAGAAAATTCTAAAGAAATAGATCAAAATTTTAAACAGAGTTTTAGTAATATCTTGAAATTTTGACTTCTAAATTGAATATTCATATACGAACTACATAATTATTAAAATTAAATTATGTGTAATATAAATATTTTATATCAAATTATACTATATGTATAATTATATCACATGTTTAAATTCTTGTTTTAGTGAATTGCAAAAAAGCGTTAAAAATTAATTAGCATTAAAAATTTAATTATAAATAGCCTTACAAAAAAAAATTCATTGAAAAATAAAATGAATTTTATTAGGGCGTATATTTCTATTATTTGTTATCGGTTTTTTTTTTTTAAGATTAGTTAAATCTTGTGAATAATCAATTTTATCATAAAATTTATATTAAACATAATTACATTATGATTTGGAAATTATATAAATACCTACTTCTAGTTACATTCGTGCATTATCTCGAATGATAAGCTTCTAATATAAAATCATATCAGGAAGTTACCAATTTGTCCTCGTTTGAATTGATTTATTTCCAGCCATTTGATAATAACGGATATATCAGCTTGCTTAAATTAGATCGTGGCGTCTCGAGTTCAAGACACAGATTACATAATTAACAGAGCGCCGTTAAAAAACATTCTCCTTCGTTTGTCCCTCTAATAAATCCATCCGATTCCGCGACTACGGCCGTCATGCGTCATGAAAATTTCATTTCTCATTGATTTTTTTCACGGGGAACCGACTTGGTATCTCTTTGGCTGCGTCATAACGCGCGAGTTCTAACAAACAGCTCCTTCGATCGTTTGTCCAATGGAAAACTTTGCACAAGGCGCGATATTATTATATGTTCTATATTTCTCAGTTACTTCAGTTATGACACTTGTAAATTTCAAAAATATGAATGACTCGAATTTTCGTTCTCGTTCGGATTCGGATTCGATTGTAAACGAGCCTTTTGAGGGTGGGATATGTTTGGGATTTTTTTAAATCCAAATTGACGTTGCAAAGTCGACAGATTTAAAGGATTCAAAGAGTCAAAGCTCTTATAATGTGAAAATATTTAGCGATTTAATTCGATCTGCTGGTCTGAACGCGGAGAAAAGCGTTTAGAAAAGCGCGAAGTCAATTCGAATCAATTACGATGCTTGATTGAAGTTTTCTATGCAGACGGATTTTTTCATCCGGCCGTTTCGGAAATTGAAGCCGGTCCTTTATTAGGCGCCGGCAGGTTCTAGAGAGCGGTATATCTTCGAAAATGAAAAGAGAAGGGAGGAGAAGAGAACGAGGGATAGAGAGAATGGTACTTTACGCCTGCACACAAGCTTCCACGTGCCTAGCGACCTAGCTCTAAACTATACTGAGTGTCCGGAAAACAAAATAAAGACGGAAAGATCTTTAAATCTTTAAATAGCTTTAAATCTAAGAATCGAGAATCGAGAATTTTTCAAGAACAGAGAAATCTTCATGTCCTTGGGAATCCTGAAAATCTAAAATTTTCAAACACATCGGATTTCTTCTCTGGGAAAGATGCGAAAATCGTAGCATTTTGACAGATCTCAGATTTCTAAGAAGTATTTCTCCTAAAATCCTAAAAAGACATGTATAATTAGGAAATGCAATTTTTTTAAAAATATTCGGTTATATTCGCGTAACAAAGTAAGTCAGTCTTGAAATAAAAACATTTCAACAGCTAAAACTCGCTCCAACTATCCCCCAATTAAAGTTCCAGTTTTTAATTCCATGACTTTAGCCATCTCTCCGTCTGATGATCTTTACCACTCCTCCCTCTCGCGCGTCCTCTAAACCTTCGTTTCTACGTCTAACGCGCCCTTCTCATGCGACACCCCGTATAGCCAATAACATCCCTCCGAGGGCTGCTCTAGTAGTAGTGGCGATCGCAGGTTGGAGTTGCTAGCTGGAAGGGTGGCTTGTCGTCGGGTAGGCTGTTGGTTGCATGATGCGGGTAAACGAGGCACGGAGGAGGAGGAAGAAGAGAAAGAGAAAGAGATGGAAGAGGAGGAGGAGGAGGAGGAGGAGGAGGAGGAGGAGGAGGAGAGTGGTCGAATATTGAGCGACGCCGGGCGTCGCGGCGCAGCGTGCAAGCCAGTCGCCCTCCAGCCACCGCCCCAGTTACGACCTGAGCGACACTTCCGGCGTGCCTAACTCTTCTCTCTTCTGATCTTGTTCTCTTTTTCTTGTCCTTTCGGCCTCTCGTGTCTCGATTCTCGCGCGCCTAATCACCGTCGAGATCACCCGCTTCAAGATCCGTGAGACTCCGTGAAACAGCAACCCCCTCGTACGAAACGAAACGACAACATGCTGATCGGTCTCGTGCGCGACTCGGTGCTCCAGTGCTTCTGTCACAGCTGCAAGGCCCCGCTGGCCGTCGTAGGTGAGTCCCTGTCGCGTGAGGCCCGCCCGCTTCACCCCTTATTCACCCTTTCGCCCCTCCTTCTGGTTTCTCCGGAAACTCCTAAAGATCAGCTGCCATAAGTATTCGATACTCGGTATGGAGCTGTATGTATTTGAAAATCGTTTTGAAAATAATTTTAATAACATCACCAGTTTGTGAAAAGCAAAAAGAATATATGGATTTTTTTCTACGCGAAATATTAAGAATTATTAAAAAAGAACGAAAAATCTCAGAATTTGCGGCAGGTATTTTGATACTGGCGTTATCAGTTTGTCACCGAATTTTATTAGCTTGAAGTTTTGTAGAAGCAGCCCTCATGGAAAACTCGTAATTTTTTTAATCCAATCCTTGCAAAAGATTAAAATTTTTTC